ATGCTCTCTTGTCGCGATTGCGCGAAGCTGGTGGATGCATGTAGCCCAAAGACAGGTCGTGGTGCTGGTGATTTTTTGGAGTGACTGATAGAACGTGGCGTTCCAGTCAGCCCATAGCGCGGTTGGACAGTTCGTCGCGAGAATGAGCCACATTCGCTTCCACATACGTTCAGCCGCTTCCACATCCTCTGGAAATCGGTCCGCAAGGAGTGTCGCCGTGTGCGCGGGTATGCTGGAGACTTGTCTGCTAGCACACGCGCCAAATTTAGATTTGAGTACCTGGGGAGAAGCACACTCCCCCGTCCAGTGTTCGACCAGTCTAGCTCATCCCGCGACAGCATTAGAGCAGTACCAGAACCAGTGCGCCAAGGTCTCCACTCCCCCCGTAAAGCCGGGCTGCTTTGGACAATTATTGCTCTCGAGTCGCCCTGCATGGTGCAAATTAAGTTGCCTGGTGGTGACCCAATATCCGGTCCAAACTTGATAAGCAGTTAGGCCCTGACTATGGTCTTAAACGTGCGTCGGCGTTTGACCGAGTGCCGCGCGCTGCCATTCGTCTTGCCCCGAACGTTCCTCAAGACAAAATAGAAAATTTCCCAGGGAACGGGTAAGGACTTTATTGTGATACCGGAAAGCTTACAATTTAAGCGCCTCTTCGACAAACCGAACCGGCTTATTATCCGAGACTGCCCATGGGAATCTGTGTAGCTGTTAGTGCGCCTCAAAAACGAGGCCTTGTTCCTGCAGTTGTTGGCTGAGCGCCCGCCGTTCGACAGAAGACCTATCGGCCATCTCTGAAAAATGATTCCTCTGCACCACCAGTGCAAGCCATCGGTCCCTTGGTACAGCGTTATAGCCTGCGGTACAGCCCGCGCAATACCCAAAGGTCGTTCAGCAATGACACCGTCGCAAACCAGCGACCAGACGTAGGACAATAGAACTGGCGGAGCGTGACGTAGCCGTGGGGCCCGAATCCAGCAGAGACTCGATCCCACTGCTATGCCCGGCGATGAGAGCAGAAAAAGTGTTTCCCACCGCTGTAATTTAGCGTTTTGGTGAGGTCTGGGTTGATTGGCAGGCCTCTAATTTGTCAGAACATATTCTTTGGGCCCCGTGCGATCGAGGCCGAGTTGTTCCAGAGTGCAGGACGCGACCCCAGTACATACGAATTCGGTCAACATACAGCCGCTATTATCTCGGATATTAGGATTGTCCAACTAATTGAACGTGGACCAGAAACTCAGGATCTCTTCCGGCATATCATCGGCGCTTGTCGTTCGAGTAAGAACCTGGGTGGGATAATTTAAGAAGGTCTCGCCTCCGTCCCGCCATCTAGTTGCCCCATTCAGCAGATCCGCGGACTGTGTTGCAACCCACTCACTTATTTAAAGTTGCTGATATGGTGTTGGTTCCAACCTCCCCACCATAGATCTTCGTAAGTCACCTTAAGAAATAGATTGACGCCTTAAAGCCGAACGGTGCAGCGCCGCAAGTGGAGTCACCTGCCCGACAGTAGCCTGTGGACACCCGCGAAAGGCCGAGATGCGCCAGGCTTCGAAGTATTTGTCCGATCGTTAGGTAAGCCTAAGAATAGCATGATTCCTTCCGTTGTAATAATATTGCGACCGACAAATCGGCAAGACCGATATGCACCGCATTTCTAGGTGTTACCAATAGCCCCGGGTTAACCTTATGTCGCCGTGCGTCCGTCGAAGTAGCAAGTGCTAACAAAAACTTGCTTGTAGAGATTGTGCGGCTCCTTTTCCGCCTAAAGCGGTGTATCTAAATTGCTTGCTGTAAAGAGCACGGCAGAAAAGACAATGGAGTTAAAATGATTACTCTTTCTTTACACTGGTCACGAAACGTCTTTCCGTTAAAAGACGTCGTTAAATCTTCTAAATACGATTAGCCTAATTCTTGTTCTCTAATACTTCGGCACCAATGTCGTATCCCAGGTACTTGGCATTGCCTCCAAGTGGCACGAAATCGATCCCCTGGTAGCGCTCAACTTTGATTGCCGTGTTAAAAAATGATCTCGCTTTTTAGAAGGTTGTACCTGCAAGCCTGCCAGTGCGCCAAATACATCAACAATGCTTAAAGCCTGCGGGATTTGCCTAGCATTCGCGATAAATAGCGTGAAGTCGTTTACGAATGCTGAGAAAAGGTGCGCGTTGTCAGAAAATCCAGGCGCTTCCAACCCCTTCAGTGTTGTGTCCTGCTTTAAAGCGATACTGAGCACCTCCACTAAAAAAAAATAAGAGCAGCGCGAGCGGACATCCCTGCCTTATTCCAAAGCGCACCGGGAGTGCCTAGTACTGACATCCTTTCATCACAAAGCGTGCGGAGGTGCCCAAAACAATGCGCCGCATGAGGTCAACTAACCGTTCGTCAAATCCGAATAGGCGTAAAGATTCGTACAGGAAATCGCGATCCACGGTATCGTACGCCTTTCGAAAGTCCAAGAGCAAGATACACCGGCTCTGTTCGGCTGGCGTGTCAATCTGTCGTTCTGCTGTAGAAAGCTGAGCATCAGCATCACGACATTTTTCGACATTTGGCGCCCATGGACAATATCTTGCTGCGTGTCGCCAATGGCCCAGGGTGACGACTGTTGCAATCGGATGAACAAAACCTTCGAAAAGTCTTTGTAGCTAGTCTGTAGCAAGGCAATCGGTCTGTGATCCAAGGCGTCTTCAAAGTCATCTTGCTTCATTAGAGGGATGATAAAAATTTCCAGGAAAGAAGCAGGCAGCTCGGACCCCGCAAGTATTTGATCACTGATGATGACGAGAGCCAGGACCATAAGCGCCGCCGTATCCTTGTAGAATTCATTGTTCAACCCTTCGGGGCCAGCCAACTTACAGTGATTAAACCAGGCGATAGCTGAGAGCACCTCGGCCTCCGTAGAGGGACTCAACAGCCGCTCATCATCGTCCGCGGTGAGGCGCTGCCCTGGCGGCGCGGACGCAAGTGTCCGCAGCTCCGATGCATATAGGGGCAGAGAAGTGGTTCGATGACTCTTTCTATGCGTTGGTGCCCGTTTAGATACAAGCTTATCAGCGATAGACAGTGAGCGCAGAAATAACGGTCCGTGACGTGCTTAAAGGAAAGTGACGTGCTGACCTCGTTCCCATTTTGCAATTCACTGGTAGGACAACCTTAGGTACTCCGTCGATCGCGCCAAAGTCTCGCCCAGACGAGCAAGGAGTTCCTCCCGCATCTCTTCGATATTGGCCGATATCCAGTGCCGTCTGGTGAGAAAAGGTCGTTAGTTGCGCTTCTTTAGTAAAACCCACGTAGCATTTTCTCTGCTGCTTTTCCCTTGTCCACACTACCGTAAAGCAGTAACAGCTCCCTGCAATATGGGTATCCCAGGACTGTGTCGTGGGGTCAAATCCCACTCCCATGTTTGTCATTTACCGAATGACGGCTGTCACGACTCGTTTCGGTATGTTCAACCAGATAGGATAGTTAGCGCGCCGCCTCTGCTGTAGCCGCCCACTTAATTCTTTACCTCACAGATGAAGTACCACTTGCTCGTGATATGAGTAAATAGGTGGCGGAGCCGTGGATACCAAGAGGACATCAGGAGCCCAGTCGTTAATAATATAGAATCGGTCAATACTGATAGCCGTCTTGGTGGTCCAGTACGCAAAGAATTGCTTGTGTCGATCTCATCTGCGTCGGCATGGTCCCGGAGAAGTCTTGAGTCACTCAAGGATGTCCCTTCCAACAGTGAGCTAAGCGCCGGACTCTCCGGACGGCTAGCGGACCGTGAGTCCAATTTATCCAGCTGCGGACTTTAAACACAGTCAGAATCTACTAGCGGGATTGTACTTCTAGATGACATGTCCCAGACGTAGAGCCCCTGGAAGAATTCTTCGCTCCGCCCGTATGTTTGGCGCGTAGAAGCTAAGTATGAAAGTGTCGGGAACTTGCGACCCCACTTCCTGTGAAGTCTAACTATTCTCATTGCACACCTCTGCATCAGACGCCGCGGTGGGAGATAACAAAGTACCGAACACTCGAGCCTTCGATGAACCAACACTCCAAAAGAACATTGGCGCTTGTTCAGGGTCGAGCTGTTTTCCCCACATCCGTCATTAAACAAGACGTAGAACAGCTGCATCATCCTCGGTGGCCACGTGTGTTTCCTGTATGCACCATACTAGCGGGCGTCTACTTGCCGGTGTTTGGCGCCAGGCGGTCACACACTGCTTCCGAGTACCCTTCGAGAAACCATGCAAATTTTGAGTAATTAGCCTACGATCTGTCCGTCGCTTAAGTGAGCGATTGCGTGGTTGGAATCCGATTCGAAGCGATGTAACAAAGTGTGACGCCCATAAGCATCAGCACTCCGTTACGCCGCCCCGTGGTACCGTGCCGTAACATAATCCCGTAACAGCACTCCGTTACGCCGCCCCGTGGTACCGTGCCGTAACATAATCCCGTAAAGTGCCCTTAGTATTGAAGCTGTTAGTCCTCCTGTGGACGTGCAAGCCCGGTGTAGAAAAACAACTCAATCGCCGCCCAATCCGCTAGTAGTGTGTGGGTGTAGTAGGCTTCCTGATGCCTGGTGTTGATTAAGATAAGCCGCATGTGAGCTCGTATTTTGTCCTGCACACCTAGGCTGGATGGCACCCTGTCGACTAGAGCTGCAATTTCATGGTCGTAAAGAAGTGCACATAGCAAGTGGTGACTTAATCGGGTTCAACGGCGAGGATCACAATGTCTAAGCAGGTCGTCTACAGCATAATTGCTAGCTCTCAATTTGTTTCAATCCTCCAAACTGTCCAGTAGCGGCGCGAAGACGAGTTTTCCCGGATGCCGCGCCTTTCGAGCCAGCCATCTGCCCAGGCTTGCAATAAACGATCTAGTGGTGTCGCCCGATAGCGCTGCAACGAGGCCTTATCGTACGCCCGCCGACTTTCTGCCATCTATAGGACAATGACGGACACGTCTAGAATTTGGAGAAGTTCCCCTGGTAGCATGAAACGCTTTTAGAGGCATAGTAAATGGTCTGGAGCGTTTCGAGCAGTGTGTTGCCACTCCGTCGTGGAGCTATCAGCCGTGAGAAACGGGATTTGCATGAGATTTGGCCAGTGCGATTCCGACAGCTGCCACGCCGAGGCCCAATCCCCTCGATCGATGCGGTCGTAGTCCACGTCATCGGTGATCATCCTCAGACGTGCGACCCCTACGCGGCCATTTTTGTTAGCCGTTTTTTCGGCCTGTTACACCACAATCGCCCCCGATGATTGGTCTTTTCTGGTGATGTGCTTATCCTTCGTTTGCGATCTGGCGGTGGGGTTAGCCGTGGTCCAAGCAGAGGCGTAAGTGGGAGTTCAGGAACACCAGTCTGTGCCTAACGACCTCAAGCTCCTCGCATTGATCTGTGCAATTTTCGCCGTCGGCGGCTGCAATTCGGTCCGGTTCAAGTGGAGCGAGACATGGTATGGCGGTGGCGGCCATAGGTGCAGCCTGCTGCGTGGGGGCCTTTATCTTCGTCGGGGCGATCTGTGTGCGTGTGGAGTGCTCTGTTTCATCCAGACCTGTACAATCGACCATGTAACGGGGTGAATCGTTACATAACAATTTATAAGAAATTGTTAATAGAATATAACTATAAGAGTTATATTCTCAGAATATTGTCATAAGGACAATATTCTGTAGCACTTCCAAGTAGTTCCTAATTGGTTGATATAGGCCATTATATCAACCAACGAAGACGCGCCACGACAGACGCACGCAATGAGTGGTGAGCAGATAACTGATTTACACATTTGTATTTAGACATAGTTAGATGAAGATAAATAGTGATTTATTGCAGACATTAACTATTATAAATACAGTTCTACTTTTTACTCTAACCGAGTACTCGCTTCTTCTTACCGTCTTCCTCTGCACGTACGAGTGTACGTGAAGTTACGAGGCACCGCCTTATTCTGTTATCAGAATAAGTAGCTTGTACTGTCACCAGTACAAGCTTCAGGGTGCCCCGTTACACCTGGTAGCACTTCGTAGTCCGTCCAAGGACCGCGTTCACATCCAACATGAATATGTTGGATGATGAAGATGACCAAAGCTTTCACGCTACGCGTGACGGCTACTCCCATTTGAGCGATGTCGAATGGGATGCGGTTGAACGAATGGGTTCGACCATGGGCATCCATGCTGTTAGCGTCATGCTAGAGGCTCTCAATAGAGATGCCCAACATGCTACTATCGCCAAGTTCATTCAAAATGAACTTGACGCAGAACGCGAGAAAGTAGCCTTGCTTCACCAACAAGGTTCTCAACAAGCAGAGTTGTTGAGAGAACAAGGTGCTCAACAGTTTGAACTGTTGAGACAGCAGCAGGCTGCTGCTGGCGGGTCGATGCACTCGCGTCGGCCCGAGACTTTGAAGATTGACATCTCAAAGTATAGAGGGGTCGAAGAAGACTCCCTCTTGAGATGGTTCGTCGAATTGGATGACGCCATAAGGGCGCGTCGCATCGACGACGGGGATATGCAAGTTGCATTTGCCCAGTCAAATCTGGCAGGACGTGCCAAGACTTGGGCACTGGGGCTCAAGCTGCACGACCCATATGCGTTTGGGTCGTTGGAAGTCTTCAAGTCGCGGCTCAGACAAACGTTTGAACCGCCTAGAGCTGAGTTCAGAGCTCGAACCGAACTCTTGAAGCTCAAGCAGGGTAAGCGTGATGTGCACGCTTACGCTCAACATATACGACATCTCACGAGTTGTATAAGTTCCAATCCGGTGGATGAACACACGTTGGTTTCGGTGTTCATGCAGGGTCTTGCGGATGGTCCCGTCAAGACTCACCTGTTCCGGCTTGAACTAGATTCACTAGAACAAGCCATTTCAATTGCGGAGCAGGAAGACTTCAGTCTGAGACAGGCTCGCGCCAGCTCGACATCATATCGTCAACCGAGACGATATGACAACGGAGGTCCAGAGCCGATGGAACTCTGTTATGTAGAGAGCGAGAAGGCTCGCTCTACAGGCTACAAGAAGTTGCAGAGATGCAACAGATGTCAAAAGACAGGACACTACGCTTACGAGTGTAGTGCCCCTCGTCCAGTGTCTCGCGACACTGGGCGTAGTGACCGTCCACCCATGAGAAAGGGGCAGGGACGAGGGTCCGCAGTTGGTGCAAAGACGCAACAACGGGATGGACCGTCAAAAAACGGACAGGATCAGTAGGTGCGGAGCACCCTACTGATCCAGCAACGTCAAGAGAATTTGTAGGCCTCTTGATGAAGGTTGCTCCCAACACACAGACATTGTGCGTTGCTGCTCTAGGTAATGAGATCTCACTCATTACCTTGAAACTCGAAGTGACGAATAAGTTGTCCCTTCGAGCTCTAGTCGATTGTGGGGCGTCCAACAATTTTGTGCGACGCCAATCGCTAGAAGATGGTCACTTTAAATTCAGTGAATGTGACACACCTCCTACGAGGATGACGGTACGTCTTGCGACAGGCGCATCCGTAACCGTCATGAAGCGTATAGTGAAGATTCACTATACGCTAGAAGATACCCAATACGACGATGACTTTATCGTATTGGATTTGGATGACAAATTTGATGTCATCCTTGGAATACCGTGGCTCAGAAGGTACGAACCACGGGTAAACTGGCAACATCGGACAGTAACGATGCCTGCCGCTTTTTCATCAGATGGCCATCTGATGAACGTTTTGGAGCGCAAGCGTGTGGATGTACTACGAGTGAGTGCGATGGCCTCACTTGTGGTACGGTCGTTAGTACGACTGCACAAAACCTTAGTGTACCAAACGGTTACACTTCGGAGCCAAGTTCCGGCGGCTGTGAGGAAACACAGGCTGCGCCGAAGGTCCACCACTCGAATAAGTCGGGTGGACTGGGACAAAGATGTATCCCTAGAGGGGAACATCTAGAAGAGAAACAATCGATCGCTCAGGTTAAGCGAAACGATAATCCTAGATCGACTGGAGAGTCTTTCGTAGAGGATCTCGCTGTGGTTGCGCAACCACAGCTAGAGGAAGTAAAGGGAATAAGTCCCAAGATTACAAATACGGCGGAAATAAGTTCCCCGAAACCCGCGGGAATAAGTCCCCGGGAAGACGAAGGAATAAGTCCTTCGAAGCCTGAGGGAATAAGTCCCCAGGAAATGACAGAGACATTGAATGTCATAGTCAATAACGGATCATGTGTAGGCGCTTATACACTTGATCTGATTGCGCCTCCGAAGTTAACTTCGGAGATCACTCAGTTGCCAACGCTCGAACATAAAAGGTTCTTGCGTGATCTGCGTAGTGGCAAAGTCAAGCAGATCTGCATACTCGTCGCTGACGACGAGTATGTAACCGACATAAGGTCAGCAACAGTGTTTACTGAGAACGAGAGAGTTCTCAGTAGTTCATCTATGGACGAGAGTGTCCTAGATGAAAAGACACGAATTGAGCGATATGAGTCCCAATCATGGGAATCGCTCAAGGAAAATCCTCTCTATGAAGATTTGGTTGAATTCAAGGATGTATTCCCTGAAACTGTTCCGTGCGAATTACCGAAGGATAAAGGTATTCGACACGAAGTCGAGCTTAAACCAGGCTCGAAGTACTGTGTCATGAAGCAGTGGCCACTGCCTCGTGAACAAGTACTTGCGATCGACAAGTTCTTTGCCGATCGTTTAGCAGCGGGCCATGTGAGGGAATCAACTTCCCCACATAGCTCTCCGACCTTCTGTGTGCGAAAAGCAACAGGAGGGTGGCGGATAGTGCACGCGTTTAACAAATTGAACGCTGCAACGGTACCGGCTCAGACGCCGATACCGAGGAAGGACGTAATCATTGATGGTATGTCAAAGAGTACCATCTTTTCGTCCATGGATTTGATGGATGGCTTCTATCAAATCCTAATGCGGGAACGGGATATACCCTATACCGCAGTTAGCACGCCTAGCGGCATGCTCTGGGAATGGCTAGTAATGCCACAAGGGCTCAGTAATGCCCCTGCCACGTTCAACAGATGTGTATCACATCTGTTGAGACCAGTACGAGAGTTCGCGCCGAGTTATTTCGATGACGTATTCATCCATAGTCGAGCTATGGATGGAAAGTCGGACGTTGAGGTTCACAGGTACCACGTCCGACAAGTTCTTACAATCATGCGAAAGCATCAATTGTATGCTAACCTCAAGAAGTGTATATTTGCAGCAAGCGAAATACCACTTCTTGGGTGCATCGTTGGTAAGAACGGTGTACGTCCTGATCCCGAAAAGATCAAGGCGATCACCGACTGGCCTGTGCCGGTCGATGTCAAAGGTCTTCGAAAATTCCTTGGGCTAGCGGCGTATTTGCATAAGTATTCACGCAATTACGCCGAGATGACTGTACACCTCTCTCGTTTGTTGAAAAAGAACGAGAGGTGGTTATGGAACGCTGAATGTCAGCGCTCCTTTGATGGTATCAAGCATAGCTTGATACAATCCCCAGTCCTAGCAATTGCCGATCAGGACAGGCCATTTCATGTGGTCTGTGATGCCAGCGATTTCGCAATAGGCTGTGCATTAATACAGTACGATCTTGAAGGCGTCGAACGCGTCGTCTGCTATCAGTCGCGTCAGCTGCAACCAGCTGATCGGAACTATCCAGTGCATGACAAGGAACTCCTTGCCATGAAGTATGCACTCGCGAAGTTCAGAGTCTATCTATTAGGAGATAGACCCTTCATTGTTTACACTGACCATGCGTCATTACGCAAGGCAGCAAACAGCCCGCACCTTTCACAACGAATCGCGCGGTGGTTGTCATTCTTTGCAGAATACACTTTTAAGGTAGATTACAAACCAGGACGACTTCACGTCGTCGCTGATGCACTCTCACGTCGTCCCGACTTTGAAACAGTCGCGAAACCCAACAGTGAGACAGTCACTGTTGCGGTTATGACGTCCTCAGTTCCATCTACAACGTTGTATGATGATGTGAGGCGGGCATACGCCCAAGATGGTGAGATAGTGAAGTTGTTGTCACATCTCTCCCAACCATCTCGAGAATCGTTGAAACGATTGTCGTCTGCGTATCGATCTGCATCAGATCGATACACTACTCGTAACGGTTTACTGTACTATACAGCCGTTTCTGGTGACACACCACGTGTTGTCATTCCAGATGATACTGATCTGCGTTTGCGGATCATGTTCGAGTATCACGATGCTCCTATAGGAGGACATCGTGGCCGAGAGAAAACATATCTCACGGTGAGTCGAGACTTTTACTGGCCCCGCCAGTATCAGTTTGTGCGAAAGTATGTTCGCGCATGCGAAGTCTGCCAACGAGTGAAGTCAAGTCCTTCACTGCGTGCACCTTTAAAGCCTCTACCGGTTCCGGCTGAGTGCTGGGAATCCATCTCAATGGATTTCGTCTTCGGGTTACCCAAAGACGCACGCGGGAATACGGGTATTCTCGTATTTGTTGACAGATTCAGCAAAATGGTACACCTTGTGGCTGTACCAGAGACAATCACGGCAAGTGGCTGTGCTTGTGCCTTTATTGACACCATCTTCCGACTTCATGGGTTGCCCCGTGAACTCGTATCAGACAGAGATCCACGATTCACTGCTGATTTCTGGCGTTCCGTGTTCAAATCACTCGGAACGCGCTTGAAGATGTCAACATCTGATCATCCAGAGTCAGATGGTCAGACGGAACGTGCCAATCGTGTCCTTGAAGAGATACTTCGAGGATACGTACACTCCTTTAAGAGTTGGAGTGAGTTTTTGCCGATGGTAGAGTTTGCCATCAACAACTCGGTGCATGCGTCCACGACACATACACCGTTTTACGTGAATGGCTTGCGCCATCCGCGTGTACCCACCTTACTAGAGTGTAACTCTGGTTTAAGGGGGGAGGGACTCGCGCGAGCAAAAACCGATTTGGTTCACGCTCATCACGCTCTGACGAAGAAGTCATTGCGTTTGATGCCGATATCGATAACATCGATATCGAAGAAGATGATACCAGTGAGAGTGCGGAAGCCCTCACTGAAGACAATGATCCCAGTGAGAGTGCGGAAGCCCTCACTGAAGAAAAGGTTGTTGTTGCTGCAGTGCGCTCACAGCACACTGAAGCTAACGAGTCATCAGATGAGTTCATACTGGCTCGTGAAACGGTAGTCCGTTTTGTGCAAGACTCCATCGCCGAAGCGGTGGATAAGCAAAAGCAAAACGCTGACAAGAATGGAAGGGCAAACACTCTTTTATTTAATAAAGGTGACTTAGTCCTACTGTCTACGGTTAATCTACCAAAACATGTAGTGACTAACTTGGGTAGCAGTAAACTACTACCCAAGTACATTGGCCCATTTCGTGTATTGCACCGCCTAGGCAATGCATACACGATCGAGTTACCACGTAAGATGCGAACGCATCCCACGTTTTACGTTGGTCGGCTTAAGCCGTACCATCAGTACGCTGCTTCTTCCGATGAAGAACGCCCTTGCGCTCAAGCATCTCGCAGAGAGCCTTGTGCTCCCGATGGTGGGCATCAACAAGGGTCTGAAGAGCAGTTATCTCAGCCCGAGACCGATCAACAATCCCACGAGCTACCCTTAGCTCGTCACGAAGAGATGTCAGAGATCTCTCGTTCTCAAGCTGAGCAAAGGCAAACTCATCTCGATGCTTCGAGGCAGTGTCCGCCATTTGGAGACGCCTATTCCGCTCATGCTCGAGATCGTCGCGTAACCCTTGCGTTACGCGATCAAAGAAGCTCTCGGGAACACACCGATCCACATGATCGTGTGGAGAGCGTCTTTCCTCCTCCTCCACCTCCATTAGAGGACTCTCGCGGTGGCCAGCGCTATCTAGTTGAGCAGCTGTTGAACCACCGCGACGTGAACGGACGTCGGACGAGTTACCTCGTCCGGTGGCGCGGCTATCCCCCGTCCTGGGATTCTTGGGAGCCCCGCTCCCAATTGATGGTTGACGTACTGGGTCTGGTCGAGCAGTACGACGCGGCACATCCTGTGCCGCAGAAGGACCGCCGGAGAAAGTCTTCCCGGCACGGTCGTAAAGGGATTTCAGGTTGTCAATCCCTTCGTACATCTCAGTAGAGACACGTACGCGCCACCACGGGCTGGTAAGGAGGTAAGCCTCCTTAGGTGCTCGTGCAGAGTTGTTCACACAACATGGGCACGAGTCTCCCCAAGAGAGGCAGGGTAATCCTTTCTCCCTTGACAGACGATGCAGCTTGTAGCGTGCACCTGTCGGGGTTCGCTTTTCAAACTTATCACGAGCTTTGATAAGTTTGTCGTTCCAAGCGTCACGACCTACATCCTCGAGATTATGGATGTAGGCGTTCCACGCCTGAAGTAGTGAGGGACCATCACGTTTGTGATTCCCACTGTACCATCGATGTCTGAAGAAAGCATCGATGAAGAACTCATGTTCAGCGCGATAGTCTTTCGCGCTGGGGTCAAGGTGATGGATCCTTGACGAATCGAACAATCGTGTTCGATAACGATCACTCGTCGTCGCCGACAAGTGATCCATGACGGATTTAGGAGGCATCCATGCCTTCTTTTTCTGGAGCGAGACGCAACACATTGCGGTCCCGCTCTTCCTGCGACGTGCCGACAGAAGTACTGGCACCTCGCTGTGAAGTGGTGTCCATTGGAGAAACGACACCACTATTAGCGCCCGAGTCTCGCGACCTCGAGCGCCTTCGCTTGGCGATGGTTCATCTGACTCATCAGATGAACCAAAGATGCTGCGACGCAAAGCATCGTCCATGCCACGCTTGGCAGGCGGCTTGGATTCAATTGCCGTCGATACGGATCCGTCATCCGTATCAGGAGAGTACGAGACACCGAGCTCGTACTCTGTGAAGACACGAGTGTCTTCATGACCAGCGCCTGCATCACCAGGTGATACAGGCTGAGTCGATTCAGCAACCGATGGGATATCAGTTGCTGTAGTTTCTGCTTCGGCGTCCGCACAGAGACGTGCAGACGCGCTCTCGGCGGCCTTGCTCGCGCATCGCATGGGCTTGTTTACCATGCGATGAGATGTTGGAAAGTGGACGCGGACCAACAAGTGCAAAACCCCGTCCCAAATGATTTGGGACGAGTATCCATTTAGTCAATCAGTCACTAAAGTGACTGATGGTTAAGGGGGGTGATGTAACGGGGTGAATCGTTACATAACAATTTATAAGAAATTGTTAATAGAATATAACTATAAGAGTTATATTCTCAGAATATTGTCATAAGGACAATATTCTGTAGCACTTCCAAGTAGTTCCTAATTGGTTGATATAGGCCATTATATCAACCAACGAAGACGCGCCACGACAGACGCACGCAATGAGTGGTGAGCAGATAACTGATTTACACATTTGTATTTAGACATAGTTAGATGAAGATAAATAGTGATTTATTGCAGACATTAACTATTATAAATACAGTTCTACTTTTTACTCTAACCGAGTACTCGCTTCTTCTTACCGTCTTCCTCTGCACGTACGAGTGTACGTGAAGTTACGAGGCACCGCCTTATTCTGTTATCAGAATAAGTAGCTTGTACTGTCACCAGTACAAGCTTCAGGGTGCCCCGTTACAGACCAGGTCCATCTCCGCCTCGAAAAGTCAGGGAGCCGACTGGTATGACTTGGGTGAAAAACCGCTGAATAATGGCGGTCCTGATATTGTACGATGAGCGGGGGGCGATCCGGTAACTCAATCTTGGGAGCGACCACCTCGTCAGGAAGCGCTTATGGTGAGAGCAGATGTTCTTCTTCGGTCCACGTCACGCGACTGTGCCTGGAAACAGTAGCTGGAACATACTTTAAGCACCTACAGCCCTGTAACTGACCATCGACGCGCTGGATTACGTGTATGGGTTGTTGCAGATTTTTGGCCGCCATACATACCGAGTCACTTGTCCCCCATGTGTCCGAGGGTACTATATCCGTCCGCTCCAACATAATGGACGCAAAATCTTCCAAATATCACCGTATTTAAGAGGCTGACTCAGTGCGAGACATTTCTGGCCACCCTCGGGATACGTTCTTTAAAGGTGAACCCGTCGATCGTGGAATATCTGTCCTTCGAGCGCTAACAGCCCTTTACAATTGATACCACGTTTTTTACTGGCTGTTATCATCTCCAGTGCCTCCGGATTGGCATCCACAACCGCCTGAGCTATCGCCATGGCAAGGCAATTACCTGTCGACGGTGTGACAACAGACCTCACGCCGAGTTGGCATTCCGTATCAGCCATATCAACCGGGATTGTCGTTGATCGAGCGCCCATCGGCGAGGCGGTTGTAGACGGCTTGTGCCTACGAACGAGCTTTTTGCGCAGAGCTATTCGTTCTTGACGCTTCAGGGTAGTAGAACATGTACAGTTGAGACTGGAGCCGTACCCTTCTGCTGACAGACCGTTTTCCAAATTGGGTCCTCTGACGTGAGCGGAAAAGACCTGGATGGGCCGTACCATCGGCTTCCACCGCCGTACTTAAGTCAACATTTGTGGATCTCGATTAAAAGCCGTCGGGACTCATCTGACCTCTAGAATCCCCGTTATTCTCGTCGTCGTCCTCCCTTAAGACAGAGTACGTGCCTGACTTCAAGTGTGTTCTGCCCGAAGACGCACGACCACTCGGGCCTTTAAAGCGCCCCTTAGAATGTATAGAGATTCAAGGTTGCTGCATTACCGGTCTAGGTGGAGGCTGAAGATGTTAAATTTTTTTGCCTTGCTCTTCCTGCGGAGCGCTGTTGGCCTCTGTCAATGGAGGCGTGGTGCCAACCGGATGCTGTACCGTCCCCGTCATGCGCCAGATGGCGTAACAGCGTGCTGAGCCACCAATTTAGCCTCCCTCTGGAGCAGAAGTCGCTGCGCCGCCATAGCTCTAAGTCCCTCGAGGCTAGAGAAAGGTTTTACGAGGTATTTGAGCTCCCCTACGTCCCCTTGCGTCGCAACAATTCCGCTGGGGCCCTTCAGCTGCGCTTCCGTTAAACCGCATCGAGCTAAGGTGTGCCCAGATTACCACATTGCAGGAATCGCAACCTGTGCCCCACATTAGGGTGCTAAACGATTACGGTCGTTCCAAACCCGATAAGACGGACGACGCCATCAAGGAAAGTAGGGCACCCCGCGAGCTAAAGTGTCACCATATAGATAGTAGACGTCCTCGAATCCGGTGTGTGCGTGTCCAAGTCGTCCATGTCAAAGCCCGTTGGAATTTTCTTTTTCAAAAATGCCGCAATTCTCCTCACATCACTGAAATGTATGAGTTTATGGAGGTGCACAGTGTACCCCAATCGCCGTCCATGATGTAAACCATTGAACTTGCTGCCGTTGCCGGACCGACCCGCTCTCCGGACGGTGAGAATTTTGGAGTCGATGCAGACCCCCGAAGAATGGCACCCGGACCTCTTTGTTGCTGGCCGCTGTAGTCCAAGAAAAGAAGTAAAGGTAAATCGTCTTGTTGACGTGGTCATAGCTGATCGTCTTGGTTTGACTGAGCATCAGGCTCAGCGCGGTAAGGTTTACCTGTAACGGGGCACCCTGAAGCTTGTACTGGTGGCAGTACAAGCTGCTTATTCTGACGACAGAATAAGGCGGTGCCTCGGAACTTCATGTACACTCGTACGTGCAGAGGAAGACGGTAAGGAGAAGCGTGTACTTGGTGAAAGTAAAAAGTGGAACTGTCTTTTTCATAGTTAATGTCTTCAAGAAATCACTATTTATCTTCATCTAACTATGTCTAAATACAAATGTGTAAACCAACTATCTGCTCACCACTCATTGCGTGCGTCTGTCGTGGCGCGTCTTCGTTGGTTGATATAATGGCCTATATCAACCAATTAGGAACTACTCGTAAGTGCTGCAGAATATTTGTCCTTATGACAATATTCTGAGAATATAACTCTTACAGTCTTGTTCTATTAACAATTTCTTATAAATTGTTATGCAACGATTCACCCCGTTACATCCCCCCCATAACCATCAGTCACTTCAGCGACTGATTGACTAAATGGATACTCGTCCCAAATCATTTGGGACAGGGTTTGCACTTGTTGGTCCGCGTCCACTTTCCAACAATTCATCGCATGGGTAACAAGCCCATGTGGTGCGCGAACAAGGCCGCTGAGAGCGCGCCCGCACGTCTCTGTGCGGACGCCGAAGCAGAAACCGCTGCAACCGATGTGTCATCGGTTGCTGAAGCGTCTCAGCCTGTGTGACCTGGTGATGCAGGCGCTGGTCATGAAGACACTCATGTCTTCACAGAGTATGAGCTCGGTGTCTTACACTCTCCTGATACGGAAGACGGATCCGTATCGACGGCGATCGAATCGAAGCCGCCTGCCAAGCGTGGCATGGATGATGCTATGCGTCGTAGCATCTTTAGTTCATCTGATTCATCAGATGAACCATCGCCGAAGCGAAGGCGCTCGAGGTCGCGAGACTCGGGCGCTAACAGTGGTGTCGGTTCTCCTATTGAAACCACTTCGCAACGAGGTGCCATTCCTTCTGTCGGCACGTCGCAGGAAGAGCGGGACCGCAGTGTGTTGCGTCTCACTAACGAGAAGAAGGCATGGATGCCTCCCAAATCCGTCATGGATCACTTGTCGGCGACGACGAGTGATCGCTATCGAACACGGTTGTTCGATTCGTCAAGGATCCATCACCTTGACCCCAGCGCGAAAAACTATCGCGCTGAGAATGAATTCTTCATCGATGCTTTCTTTAGACATCGATGGTACAATGGGAATTACAAGCGTGATGGTCCCTCACTGCTTCAAGCGTGGAACGCTTACATCCATAACCTTGAGGATGTAGGTCGTGACGTTTGGAACGACAAACTTATCAAAGCTCGTGATAAGTTTGAAAAGCGAACCCCGACAGGTGCACGCTCCAAAACGTTCATCAGATGGCCATCTGATGAACAAGCGGCAGGCATCGTTACTGTTCGATGTTGCCAGTTTACTCGTGGTTCGTACCTTCTGAGCCACGGTATTCCAAGGATGACATCAAATTTTTCATCCAAATCCAATACGATAAAGTCATCGTCATATTGGGTATCGTCTAGCGTATAGTGACTCTTCACTATACGCTTCATGACGGTTACGGATGCGCCTGTCGCAAGACATACCATCATCCTCGTAGGAGGTGTGTCACATTCATTGAACTTAAAATGACCATCTTCTAGCAATTGGCGTCGCACAAAATTGTTAGACGCCCCACAATCGACTAGAGCTCGAAGGGACAACTTATTCGTCACTTCGAGTTTCAAGGTAATGAGTGAGATCTCATTACCTAGAGCAGCAACGCACAACGTTTTTGTGTTGGGAGCAACCTTCATCAAGAGGCCTACAAATTCTCTTGACGTTGCTGGAACAGTAGGGTGCACCTACTGATCCTGTCCGTTTTTTGACGGTCCATCCCGTTGTTGCGTCTTTGCACCAACAGCGGACCCGCGTCCCTGCCCCTTTCTAATGGGTGGAAGGTCACTACGCCCAGTGTTGCGAGACACTGGACGAGGGGCACTACACCCGTAAGCGTAGTGTCCTGTCTTTTGACATCTGTTGCATTCCTGCAACTTCTTGTAGTCTGTAGAGCGAGCCTTCTCGCTCTCTACATAACAGAGTTCCATCGGCTCTGGACCTCCGCTGTCATATCGTCTCGGTTGACGATATGATGTCGAGCTGGCGCGAGCCTGTCTCAGACTGAAGTCTTCCTGTTCCGCAATGAAAATGGCTTGTTCTATTGCATCTAGTTCAAGTCGGAACAGTTGAGTCTTGACGGGACCATCCGCAAGACCCTGCATGAATACCGAAACCAACGTGTGTTCATCAAGTTCATCGGGCTGGAACTTATACAACTCGTGAGATGTCGTATATGTTGCGCGTAAGCGTGCAGATCACGCTTACCCTGTTTGAGCTTCAAGAGTTCAGTTCGAGCTCTGAACTCAGCTCTAGTCGGTTCGAACGTTTGTCTGAGCCGCGACTTGAAGACTTCTAACGACCCAAACGCATATGGGTAGTGCAACTTGAGTCCCAAAGCCCAAGTCTTGGCACGTCCTGCCAGATTTGACTGGGCAAATGCAACTTGCATATCCCCGTCGTCGATGCGACGCGCCCTTATGGCGTCATCCAATTCGACGAACCATCTCAAGAGGGAGTCCTCTTCGACTCCCCTATACTCAGAGATGTCAATCTTCAAGGTCTCGGGTCGACGCGAGTGCATCGACCCACCAGCAGCAGCCTGCTGCTGTCTCAACAGTTCAAACTGTTGAGCACCCTGTTCTCTCAACAACTCTGCTTGTTGAGAACCTTGTTGGTGAAGCAAGGCTACTTTCTCGCGTTCAGCGTCAAGTTCATTACGAATGAACTTGGCGGTAGTAGCATGTTGGGCATCTCGATTGAGAGCCTCTAGCATGACGCTAACAGCATGGATGCCCATGATTGAACCCATCCGTTCAACCGCATCCCATTCGACATCGCTCAAATGGGAGTAGCCGTCACGCGTAGCGTGAAAGCTTTGGTCATCTTCATCATCTAACATATTCATGTTAGATGTGAACGTGGTCCTTGGACGGACTACGAAGTACTACCAGGTGTAACGGGGCACCCTGCAGCTTGTACTGATGACAGCACAGACTTCTTATTCTGACGACAGAATAAGCGGTGCCTCGGAACTTCACGTACACTCGTACGTGCAGAGGAAGACGGTAAGGAGAGCGAGTTCTTGGTGAAAGTAAAAAGTGGAACTGTCTTTTTCATAGTTAATGTCTGCAAGAAATCACTATTTATCTTCATCTAACTATGTCTGAATACAAATGTGCATATCAACTATCTGCTCACCACTCATTGCGTGCGTCTGTAGTGGCGCGTCTTCGTTGGTTGATATAATGGCCTATATCAACCAATTAGGAACTACTCGTAAGTGCTACAGAATATTGTCCTTATGACAATATTGTGAGAATATAACTCTTATAGTTATGTTCTATTTACAATTTCTAATAAATTGTTATGTAACGATTCACCCCGTTACAACCTGACTATATTCCCTGAACGATCGCAATCCGTGACTTTCCCGAAGGATGACAACCGTATGATGTTATACTACCTACAACAAGGAGGCATGCTACATCGCACTAAGTTCGACGTGTAAGGTCACCTAGCATTTTTTTACAGACAGGTCGAAAGTAAAACTGAACGCTCAGCAATTATTGCGCACAGTGCTAAAACCGTCACCCTTTGGCTCGCAATAAAAGTGGTCCAGCTTTGCATACTGAAAGGAAGTCAGATCACAACGAGCAGAAGCTCTTAATTGATCAATTTTGACGTACGCACTTACGTGTTACACTTTAACGATGCTGCTGATGTGCGCGGCTGTGACCGTTCCTTGTTCGCTACATCACTTGGATTACTGGGAGGTAGATAATACATACTCGTTTTCATAAATATCACGTTAACGGAAAAGCTTTTTTTTGTTACAGATGGTATTTTGGCACGGAATTAACTATGTGCACGATCTCTGGTACTGTCTTAGCCAAGATGTTAGCGCCGGAGGATCCGGGGGCTGACTGTGGCTGGGCGCATTATGGCCTAATGCTTCTCATGGAGTGCTGGACATTGTAGTCCGCTTATAGATAATAATGACAAATTGCTGCAAAGTATCGTGCTTAAAGCTAGTCACGCAAATTACTCGCGTTTGACACAATAAGACATCAGATACCAAACTATAGTGCTTACAACAATTTTAAGGATGACGTAATGTTAAATTCAGCCACGATGTCGTAATTACGTCGTAAGAAACACGTGTATTTTATATATCGTTTTGCTTACTGTGATCAAAATCGTTTTACTTTTACTCTTTAGGGTCGCAAATAACCTCTCTATATCGTATTTACATAGATAAGAAGCCATTATATTTGTCAAAAAGGGTGCATGGGGATTGCCAGCCACACGTCGGCGTGAATATCATTTGTGGTGAAAATGCAGTGCTAAGGAGCTACCACGTACAAGTTTTCTCTTCTTCAAACAAATCTCCTATGGGCATCGATCCTGTGGTCACACATACGTATTCCTGTTTCCACCAATAAGTTTAACTCTGCACTGCCGGTTCTGATTAGAACAGTGCTCCATCCAAAAACCTGATTTCAGCAACACCGAAATGGAAAATTTGTCCACGAGCCAATTCAGTGGCTCCATAATCGCACCTAAATCGATCGCCACCCGTTTGCGTGGCATCTAGATACATCTTGCTGTTATTTAGCTTATAAATTTGTAGCTTGCAGCAATAAAGCATTCGTATGTTTGGGAGCACCAAATTATGTTATCGACACTTAATTAGTTATCGGCTGGTGCTGATTTTAGGATTGGTGCTGATAAGGAGGCTTTTACCTAGGATGGTGCTGATAGTGAGACTTACTCTTAGATAAGATGCAAAATAGTAAGATCGGGGATCCTACGCGTCCCAACCAATCTTTAAAGTGTACTGAGTTAATCGCTACGTCAAACATGAAACGTATAGGTAGTTCTTATACAACAAGCTGTAGGAGTTTGCTGACCTCGTGTAAAGAAGTTGGTAATCCGCATCCTAGCACATGATATTGTATGTAAATTATATTCAAGATTATTGTTGTAGTTGGTTGGAAATACGATTGCACGTATATGAAGTTTAACATCATTTATCGATTCAAGGATTAAAATCAATCCGAAAAACATTAGCTTAACCTAGGGCTTTTGCGATCTTCGTGATAGAACGAACAAAACGGATTTTTGCGGCCCGCGGACGAATTTGGACCGATCCCAGATTATTGTATAAACAACCCACATGAAAATTCTCAAAATAATTTAGAAAAAAACAAATAAAGAAAAGCATTGCCCGCTATATTAACGTGCGAATATTTCCGTGAAGAAGGTACTCTCCAAATTATGACAGGAAGAAAGATCGACATCGCCCAGTTTTATTATAAAAAGCTCAAGCCAGAGTACCCGCAGGGATACATATTGAGGTTTTGACGCAACAATGTACGTAATGGAATTTCAATTACATAATTCATATAACCTAGACAAGTGTAAGGTCGCCAGATACAAAATCAATTTTGTGTGAAAGACTTCTTCACAGTAACAAATGAATCGACTAACCTTCTGTATGACGAGGTTACATAAATGGTGGTGATATCGACCTACGCTGGTATAACGCACATAAAGAGATCAGTTTTGCTGATAGG